GTGTGTGTGTGTGTGTGTGTTTGTGTGTTTGTGTGTGTGTGTGTGATCAAAAAACGAAATGAGGCGTTTACATCGATTGGGGGAAAAAAAGGAAGACAAAATGCACTCTCTAGGTCGGGCGCGAAGAAGGGAGACAGGAGAAGGGGAGGGCAGAGGACTTAGGGAGGAAGCAAGGAGGGAGGAGGAAGGGCCATGGGAGGAAGAAGGGAGGAAGGATGGAGGGTGGAGGAGGAAGGGCCAAGGGAGGAAGGAGGGAGGGAAGGAGGGAAGAGGGAGGGTGGACGAAGGGCCGAGCGAAGGGGATGTTGAGGGGTAGATGAGGCGGAGAGAAGAAGGAGAGGGGTTGGAGGGGGGGTAAGGAGGTCAAAGAAATGGACACTCACGTGAGTCAGCCATGCCATCGAAGCCTCGAGCCGACAACAATCAACCAACAACGCGCAAGCCGTCGGCCATGATTTACCTCAGAGGTGGACCCCACTAACCGGCGCCTGGAAAAGCATGCTGGCCATAAGAAACGGCCGACCGTGGTTGGAATTAATTTGCCTCGTTTCGTTGGGACCCCACCGCCAAACGGCGCCGCTTACCCGAAAAGGAAGGAAATATCCCTCGGGCATTGTTTTTGGAAGTTCTTCGTCGCATAGGCCCCCATATCCAGCGTTCGCCCACGAATTTTCGGTTGCCCATACCAGTCGGGCAGAAGTTTGCTTGGGCACTCATCAGGTGGGCCACAGGCCGGTACTACAGGATATCATCCCACAGTTTGGGTGTAGGCCTCGGGAGTGCATTGAGAAGCAATGAGGAGGTTGCGGATGCTATCATCCACGATTACAGCCATATCCTCCAATTCCCTACAGGACACCATATGGAAGAGCGCGTGGGCCACACACCGGCCAGCAGACCCGGCGGTCATGTGGTTTGAGTCTTCGGTGTTGCTCACGAGAACCAACGAAGTCGACGCCATGGTCGTACCTTGGCAAGTTGACCTAGCAGAGTTGACTTGCAGGAGCTATGTCGTGAAACGGGCGGGGTGGGCGCAGCCCGTGGTTGACAAGTGGAAGACGTCCTTGCACAAACTTTCCCAGAGTACGAAACCGCGAACAGAGACACGTGGTGGATTTGGCAGCGATGGCCTCATCAAAGGATCTTCGATGTCGCGCGGAAGCATGGCTTATCGAATTGGAAGACATACGACAGCCCATGCAGCAGTTAGTCAACATGTTGTACTCGGCGGCTTAGGTTTGGCCAGTGGTGGCTTGGGGGGGGGTAGCATCGACCGTATGGTTGGAGGACAAGTGTCAGCAATTGGAAACATTGCTCTGGCAGATTGTTGATGATTCAGCATTGGAAACCTTCATTGATTGGCCCGAGGCTTTGATCACCAGTTGCAATTTGATCTTTGACAAAGGCGCAGAGTATTGCACAGTGATGAAGGAGCGACTGACAATTGGAGCTCGGCTGGAGGCAAATCTATCTACTCCATTGAGACAGACAGCACGTGAGCGGTGTCCTTGCGAGTGGAGTTCTACAACAACAACAGGAGGAATGAACGGCGATGGAGATGGCAACATCTACTTCGGCATGACCATACACGACCATGACCATAACTTCAATACCATCGACAATGCTCACAACAATGACATCTACTGCACTGTCTTTGACAACTCCAACAGCGCATGTGACGATGACATCGACAATAATACCGTTGACAACAACGTCGACTGTCACAAATAATTCGACGTCAACAATAAATCCAGCATCTACAATAACGACAATTCCTTCAATTACAACAACTGCACTCATGACGATGACATCTACAACAGCAACAATCATTCCAACGACAACAACAGTGCTCCTAACGATGACATCCAAAACACAATTTCAAACAACAGCTATCTCGTTGACATCAATTATTGCGACTGACATGACACCAATATCTCTCGATGCAACAGCCAGCAACTTGAAGGTGAGTGTTACTCGGTCTCTTTCAATCTCCTTTGTTGTGGGGTTCTTTTGAAGGTTTTCATTCCTCTGATGGGGTCGGAGGGCGGCCTGCTGGGGTTGAAGGGCAGCCAAGGGTTCTTCAAGTTGCTAGGAAGCTTAATTGTGCATGGGAAGA